TGGACAAAGCAACTACGTCGGAGAAACCGGGAGATTACTCCGGACGCGAATGTCCGAGCATGCAGCGGCGGTGAGGAAGAACGACGCCAACTCCCAGGTTTCCGCTCACTCAACGGAGTGATCGCTTCTTCTTCTTCTGAACTACTTCCTGGAACTCGAATATTCTCCTCTATTGGCAACCATCACACATTATCCCTTCGTCGGACAGCAAATAGGGGACGGTTGAGAACCTACCGCTCACATTCTCAACAGTTCGCGTAAACTCGGCTGCTCTGCCAGTGACTGGATTGACGAGGTCTTATACTTTGGTGTATCTTCATATTTCAGCATCACGAGGAAACAGTCTCGGAATTGGAGCGATCCATACACGACGACTTGTCCATCTTAAACTTACCCATAATCCTTCACACACCTTGTATTTATAATGTAAATGGAACGGAAGGGTTAAAAATGGAAAAAGTGAGGTGTCAATGCTTGGCGGCTGCATTTATAATCTACATTGAGATGAAAGGTAAGGGAGATTTTCTAATTTATCAGGAGTCATTCAAGCACTTAATGCGTATTCGAGCTCCGTGTATATCGTCTTAGAATTTCATAAAACGCGCAGAGACAGATCAACAGAAGGAAATATTTTACACGCAAAATGAGGATCAAATAAATTACATTCCACAGGCAGGTGTATTTTCATGCTGTACGTACTGGTAAACTTCGGAGTAAACTTGTTTGTTTCGATAAAGTCGGCATTCGAAGGTCTCTCCCAAGCAGCCGCCAAGCTGAAACTGGTTGGTTGCAACTTCATTTTATATTTTCGGCCGCGACGGTGAAGATTAGTTCCGTGAGAAATTTAGCATTTTGATTTTCTACTAGTAAGTCCCTCCAAATTAAATAAAAATAAACTCGGATACCTAAGCAACATCTGGAATAGCCAGTATATATTTTCGGAACTGTGTCATAACACAATTATGTGCGCATATGCATATCGTAATATTTAGTCACATGGCACGGTTTCGCGAATCAACTGAACTTCCACGACTTATAGTTGCAGTACGAGTGTGTGAGCTCTATGCACTGGTGATATTTTCAGAATGAACACAAAGCTTTATGGAGGCAACTCAGCATAGCAAGGACGGAAATTACTCAAATGAAAAGGGACTGTTGATAGGCAAATCCGCCGGCTACGTCAACCAACCGGTACTACTAGTAGTTACCTAAGGCGGTTGAACATTATCGCGGGTTATAACTCCTTCATTGTTTGGGAATAACTTATGTGCGTCTGGGCGCTCGGTTAACTGGTACACCTTTCCCGAAACATATACAAATTAGGCTCTGTTATCTTAATTTTTTTATCTCGGTGGAGGAGAACTTACGACTGAATTTTTATTGCACACGTCAGTAATCCATAGATATATCACACAGGAGGTTCGTGGTTTCGTGTAAACAAAATGTAATGTTACAGTCTTTTTCATGTGCCTACTGTCGTGTAGTTCGCGCTAGTGTTGACTCCGACATGCTACTTTTATTGACTTTTGTTTACTTCTGAATGCCAAGAAATTCTTAGTGTTTTTTATTCATAGGAAGTTTTCATAATTTTATTCAGCAATTACTTTCGGTGGATTCGTTTTGCAGATATTCCATAGAGCATCGAAAGGAAGATGCCTCAATCGTTTCCTGCATATATTAAAAAATAGGCACATAGCTTATTCAACAAAACGGCAGTCAAATGAGGCCTGCGTTCAAAATTTGTTCTGCTTTTCTATAAACAAATGATAATAGTTTGTCAACCTTAACAATTTAAGGTGGCTTAAATGGTGATTGGTGCCTACAGAGTTGACACACTCGGATGGTTCGAACGAACGAACGTGTTTTCTTTGGCTGGCTATATTACTGCGCCTCTAGCCTCCCAATTTAGCAGAAAAAATAACTATTTTAGCTAAAAAAGTATGTTTAAATAAATTTAGCTTGCAGTTGTGCAAACAGTTTTGATCTTAAGATAGGCATTGTATACATGAAATGTTTCATGTTTCATGTTTCATCAATAGAGGGTAGGGAACGGATCCGTGTACTAGGTATACTAGGTAAATACGATATTATTGAAAAGGATGCGGAACCAGGATGCTATCCGTTAAAATGCCTTAACTAGATGCTTTTTTCCGTATTTCCTTGCCGTTTTCTTATCTATGCCAAATGTAGATATTTTATAGCTCATAAACTTGGTTTTTACAGGATTCTTACAGACGTTGAACCCAATTGTGTCAGTTTCATTCCCGAAGTCCTAATGTTTGCCATCATACCGCTGTTGACTTAGCATTCATTTTTTCTCTGAAAGTTGTTATTTCAGATTTTTTGTTTCCCATTTAGGCACAATGATCTCGGTGGAATCTCTCAGTTACTCCAACCAAAGCCTTGACTTTCCTCTTAAACCATCGAATTCCGATACACCTTCCGTCAGTGGCCTCTCTAGTAACAGCCCCGAGCGTCTTCTCGGCTCCGATCTGGATGACTCCTCCGACGACGAGACGCGTCCTCCGCCCGTGAAGGGTAATTTGAACAAGTGGACAAACATTCTGCATGGTTGGCAGGAGCGTTACTTTGTCCTAAAGGATGGTGTGCTGAGTTACTACCGTAGTGAGGCGGAGATGGATCAGGGGTGCCGAGGCTCGATACGTCTCAGGAACGCGCATGTCCAGCCACATCCCTATGATGACTGTAGAATTGACGTAAGCACTTGCAGTCGCAGAAGTCTTATTGCGAACCAACTTTGTGACAGCGTCGTTCTTATTTAATTTCATCAGTAGTAGTTGATGACAGATGGCTTCGTTGCGACTTTCTGCTGAATTTTCGATAAAAT